TTAATTTTGAAAACGGTCCCTACTTTTGAGCCCCGAGATTTTGTTTCCTGAAAAATTCATGCTAAATCAGTGAAGACGAACAAACATGAGACCTGGAGGAAACGATTGTGACACAGTGTTTAATTTTGAAAACGGTCCCTACTTTTGAGCCCCGAGATTTTGTTTTCTGAAAAACTCATGCTAAATCAGTGAAGACGAACAAACATGAGACCTGGAGGAAACGATTGTGACACAGTGTATAATTTTGAAAACGGTCCCTACTTTTGAGCCCCGAGATTTTGTTTTCTGAAAAACTCATGCTAAATCAGTGAAGACGAACAAACATGAGACCAGGAGGAAACGATTGTGACACAGGGTTTCATTTTGAACACGGTCCCTACTTTTGAGCCCCGAGATTTTGTTTTCTGAAAAACTCATGCTAAATCAGTGAAGACGAACAAACATGAGACCTGGAGGAAACGATTGTGACACAGTGTTTAATTTTGAAAACGGTCCCTACTTTTGAGCCCCGAGATGTTATTTTCTGAAAAACTCATGCTAAATCAGTGAAGACGAACAAACATGAGACCTGGAGGAAACGATTGTGACACAGGGTTTAATTTTGAACACGGTCCCTACTTTTGAGCCCGGAGAGTTTGTTTTCTGAAAAACTTTTGCTAAATCAGTGAAGACGAACAAACATGAGACCTGGAGGAAACGATTGGGACACAGTGTTTAATTTTGAAAACGGTCCCTACTTTTGAGCCCCGAGATTTTGTTTTCTGAAAAACTCATGCTAAATCAATGAAGAGGAACAAACATGAGACCTGGAGGAAACGATTGTGACACAGGGTTTCATTTTGAAAACGGTCCCTACTTTTGAGCCCCGAGATTTTGTTTTCTGAAAAACTTATGCTAAATCAGTGAAGACGAACAAACATGAGACCTGGAGGAAACGATTATGACACAGTGTTTAATTTTGAAAACGGTCCCTACTTTTGAGCCCCGAGATTTTGTTTTCTGAAAAACTCATGCTAAATCAGTGAAGACGAACAAACATGAGACCTGGAGGAAACGATTATGACACAGTGTTTAATTTTGAAAACGGTCCCTACTTTTGAGCCCCGAGATTTTGTTTTCTGAAAAACTCATGCTAAATCAGTGAAGACGAACAAACATGAGACCTGGAGGAAACGATTGTGGCACAGTGTATAATTTTGAAAACGGTCCTTACTTGGCAGTCTGAATCTGGATGCCTGGATACCCTTGGCTGGATTGTCTGGGCTAGGCCAAGCAGCAGATGCCCGATGTTCGACGGCAGAGATTTGGATGAGTCCGAGGCGCTCACGCTGGGACAGGTCAGTGACAGAGTTGCAGATTTTGGTGCATCGGCAGAGCGAGAGCGGTTTATGAGGAGATGGAGCACTTCGAGCAGTTCTTGCGGTGCAGGAGATTCAGTTGCTATTGCTATTGTGGGTTTTTCCATTGTTTTGTAACAACCTTGTTGCGGATTGATATTCTGTACTTGTATAGTTATTCCATCGTATTCTCGTTTTTAATTAAGGACCGTGTGCTCAGTAGAAGATTGCGCAAGTGAGAAAGAACCTGGCGCACTTTCCCCCACATTATGCAGATGATTCCAGTGGCGATATTCCTGAACTCATCACCGTTGCAAATTGACCGAAGAGCCAGGACTATTGACACATAGACGTTGATGAACAGTGCGGTTCGGGCAAAAAAGGATAGCATCAAGTGCAACATGTGGTAGACGTGCAAAGAACATTGCCGGAGAAACTGACACAATCACCAGTCAAAACCAACATCTGAAATTTCATCTTATTTTGTCAACTTGTCTTTCATTACTGGAGAGGAAGTAGAGCTGTGCACAGGTGCGTGAATTTTAAGCTCCAGAGACACATGGGATCTCCATTGCTCATTCTGGAAACGGTGTTCGATTTGTACGGGCAATAGGTTTGACGTATTGGGAGATCTTTCCCCGAACCTGCCAACTCGTAAGATATCGCAAGATTGAACAATGAAGTGAAACGAAAAATCGCAAAGCAGTCATGATCTATGCTCTGCAGCGAGCTCTTGGCGCTTGAAACCGGATTTCACAGCTACAGCTACAACATTCAACCTTTCAAACACAATGATTTTTTCATCCTGCAAATCACAGCATACGCTGACTAGTGACTCGTGGTTTGAGGTGGTCGCAAGACATAGCCAAAACGGGCCGGCTTTTTCTTTCCGCTGATTAGGCTGCTTCGCATCTTCTGGTAAAAGAGCCCGATATCAACCTGTGAAGTGTTACAGCCATTCGTCACAATGTCGATGGCGCATGAGTGGCGCCCATGCACATGGCGGGTAAATGCTGAGCTGGAAGCATGGATGCTTCTTGGCCGAGTATTTGATATGGTCTGTTCAATGGATGTAAACATCAATCTGCTTCTCTCCGTTTTGCCTGCTGTTCTTCTCTGTTTTGAGGCATTTGCAGCCGGCTGTCCAACTTTTGTTTGTCTCACAGCTGGCACGGCAGCTTGCTAAGCAGCTGGATTGCGAAAGGGGCTGCTGCCAGCCTCCACTTTTTGAGGCCAGTGTGCCTATGTCAGGCTCCCAGCTTGAGAAACTTCCTGTCCCAGAGAAGTTGAAGTCTTTGTGTTTCTAATTTTCCCTGTTGAGAATGCAAGGTGTTCAATGCCAGGAGCAATCTTTGAAAAAGCATGGAACTCAGAAAGTTTGGAATTTTCAGATAGTATGCTGCATCCTTTTATATCCTTGTCAAATCAGTGATATAATGATTTCATTTGTGGCCCTTTGCGGCCACATGTGGGCGAGATTGATAATGATACAGTAAAAGGACGTAAAAGGGATATGACTTTCCGAAATTGCTCGACATTTTGATACCAGCCCCCCACCTCTGTCGACGCCATCACGTGAGCCTGCTGCGGGATCCTTCCCAATCAGGACCTTTTGCAAGTGGCTTCCGCAGAGGAGGAGTCTGAGAAGGACACGAGGCTTTGGGCTGGTCAAGATCCAAACTGACACTTCGTGGCCATTTCGTCGTGACCATGTCTTTCGGGCGTACTGCGAAGACATGCTAAGACAATCTATGATATAATTGTGAATCAAGCAGCTGGCTCATGCAGCGTAACTACAGCGTCTCTTCTGAACTCCTTTCCTTCTGTGCTCGGAGGCAACTCTCACTTGGTACGACGGCTACGGGGGTTGATAAGTCTGACGAGGGGGAGGATATCAATAAGGTGGATGATCATTCGGACGGAGATGGTGTTGCCCAGGCCATCTCCACAGTCTATTCAACATTTCAGTGTGCCGACTCTTTTCAAATTCTCTATATGGCTATCTTGCAGCCCATGTTTACAATTTAATGTGGCTGCGGCTGTGATGCAATTCTTGCTCGATCAACATCAAACCATGACCTAAGTCACTTGACATTCCAGTGTGTTTCGGCTTCCCACCTCCACTTCACCTGGACCTTTTCTACAGGGCTTGATCGACCTAGGCATCCGCGCAGAAAGGATTGCTCAATGCTGACTCTGAGGATGATTTAGAGGTGCCGACATCGGGCTATCAGGCGAAAGAACAGAAGATCAATGTTCCTTTGACAACGATGTTCATGTCAGAGAGAAGGCATGACACCACAACGCTTCGTTCTGGCCACTTGTCTCCCCCAATTTAGCTGTACGTAGAATTTTCAAATCGTGGGCTCAACCTGGAAAACGACACCGGCACCGGAACTGCTCAAGACTGAGTCCGAGGATAATCTGGAGGCGGCGATGTTAGGCTGTTAGGCTCGAGAAAGATTAGATACACGATGAACGGTCTCTAATCATCAAAGAACTCATGTCAGGTGTATATAGCGACGGACAATCACTTAGAACATCGGGAAGAACATCATTTGGAAAACGTGTTTTTTTCACTGAAAGCTATGTTTAAGAACATCCGAAAATCCCCACACTTAGAACTTAGAACATCCCAAGACATTACAACACATATATATATATATGTATATATATATATATTTAAATTATATGTGTTTTGTAATGATTTATTGACATAACTATATTTATATGAACACAGTGATATCCTTGGAGACCCCCACACTTAGAACATCCCAAGACATTACAGCATGTTTTTTTAATGATCTATTGACATAAGTATATCTATATGAACACAAAGTTGTCAATCAGCTGTGGAGACTCTTACACTTAGAACATGCCAAGACATTACAACAAATATATTTAAACAGGATCTATTGACATGTATGTTTTTAAAATGATCTATTGACAAAAAACACTTGAACGAGCTCTTGTTTGTGAGTGGGGATCCAGGGTTAGTTTCAAGGAGCCTCACATTTAGAACATCCATCAACCTACACATAGGATGTTCTAACTGATTTTGCTCTGGATGTTCTAAGTGTGGGGGGTTTGTGGATGTTCTAAGTGTGAGAGTCCAACAATTTGGAAAAAAAACATGCTGTTCTAAGTGACTGTCCGGCACTATAGCCTCTTTGTTGAGCCGCAAGGCATTTGCGGCCTTTTGCAGTCTGATGCAGCTATACTTTAGTATTGGTGTTGTAAGAAAACTAGACGACTAAGCCACGCTTTTCCATACATTGCAAGAGTTCCACGAGTCACTAGCTATCACTGCCCCGTATTGTATACAGTAAAAACCTGTCTTGTTGCAGATGGCGTCCAATCAATCGTCGGATTTGGAAGGGAACTGCACATGTTGCACGTGTGGCGAAACTCATGTGGGAGAGGTTAGGTTTGAGGTACAGCTTTGGAAAGCACCAGAGTGTATGTTCCTTCCTAGTCAAGTGGGTGAGCTATCAAGGAGCCAGAGCATTTGGTTGGGCTAGGCGGCGAAGCCGCAGATATCTGGTGAAAGCAGTGATTCGGACGGCGAGTCCGAGGTGCTCAAACGGGGGCAGATCCAAAAGAAAGATAAAGAAAGGAGGGTGACACCCTGGGTGCAAGCGAGAATAAAATATTTCATGTTGTTTCAGGAAATGGAAGGCCAATTGAAAGATGTTTGGAATTTAGATAGAGGTACTCCCATGCATACTGACTTGAAGTTGAAGTCATGTCAGAGAAGTGAACCGTTGCAATCTAAATGCGAAGCTGGACAAGGGATACGGCTTTGGGACTTGGAAAATCTTGGAAATGCGTGCAGCAATGGAGCCCACCAAGTAAAACAAATCCACCATGTCTTTTGTTATCAAACAAAATGGCTTTGACAATTCTGTACACCAAAGCACTGCTTGGCGCGAGCTGCTGCTAGCTCCCCTGTTTTACGTGGGACGACATGATTCTTACCGGTGCCTTGGCCAGGTCGAGGAAGCAGAGTCGAGGCGGGTCTGCTGGCCTTTTGACACCGCTGAGTCTACTTGATGCCCGGAAAAGTGAGCCGCAGCGAGCCTTGGCACCAGGTTTGAAGAGGAATCAAACTCCAAGAATGAGACGAATGAGGCCACTCAATTGGCGCCTGAGTGGTGGGTGGCTATCAAGTACTTTTGACCTCTCCAATATCTTTTCTCACATGAAATTGCCTCGCTATCTTGTGCCCCCTCTTTCCGAGTACGTGATCTCAGCACTCTGAACTTCGGGATCCGTTGCAGCGTTGATATGTGACAGAGGTGGATGGTTCGAATGGTGCTTCATGCACTGGGGCACATCAATCAGATTGCAAGTGGAGACTTGGCCACACGTTGTGAAAATGTGTCTCTTTGTGATCGGAGTTGTTTTAAACGTTTTTTCCAATTCAACTTGATGGAATTTTGTTTGACCTTTCTGACACGTTCTCGACAATTGTTTCTTGCTAAGAGCTCGCGAAGTCGCAACAACCTTGCAAACCAGCCAGGGTTCCGATGCTGTCAATGGAGCCGTTCGGCTGGAAGTATATGCTCAGTTGATGGTTGGTTATTCTGGGCGGCCGGTCAACCCTTCAACCCAAAGACAAAGAACTGTGGGACCCTTGAAGCTTCTTTTTTGGTGGCGTTTGAGTGATGAACTCATGAATGTAGTGCAGGTGTTAGAAGCCTTCTTTGACTTTCAGGATGTGAAATAGTCATGTTGGTAACTAAAGACATCTACTACTAACAGCATTGGGAAAGAACATATGTACAGTAACATGCCTAACTGAAACAGGGGAAAGCTGATCACAAAACTAGACGTTCGGGGTTTGCCTGTGGAGCTGTCTAGAAACTAACTACGGCTACTACCAGGAGAAGGTTTTAGTCCGAGTGCGACTTACCGTAATATCGGTATCGTCTTTTCTGCATTGATGTTTATCAATTTATCGAGCTAGTACTGTCCTCCCCAGTACTCTCGGTTTCAATCGGCTGCTGTTTGTCTGCTAATTTCGCAGGCGTAATCGTCCCACTGCCAGCTTGTCCACACTGGCTCTCCGCGATGGGATTTTCCTTTCGATTTTCCTTTGCCCTTGGGCTGATAGTAATCATACTCGTAATGTCGAGATTAAGATGGACTGCGTGCTCTCTTGCCCTTCGCCCTTCACCCACATTGTGGCGGATGAATCGGAACCAATGATTAATTAGTTGTGGATAACTGAGTAGCTGATCAAAGGAAGTTTAGGGGGAGAAACTTCCGTGTTACGGACTTTTAGAATGTCAAAGAAAGAGTTAGTGAGGGAAAGAGTTAATTGTAACTTTTAGACTGTCAGGGAGGACTGTCAGGGAGGACTGTCAGGAAAAGAGTTAGTTAGGGACAGAGTGAATTGTAACTTTTAGAATGTCAGGGAAAGAGTTAGTCAAAGAAAGAGTTAGTGAGGGAAAGAGTTAGTTAGGGAAAGAGTTAATCAGGGAAAGAGTTAGTCAAAGAAAGAGTTAGTGAGGGAAAGAGTTAATTGTAAATGACATCTTCAAGTTGGATTTTTGGAGGAAGTCCCGCACGAAATGCGTTTTTGAGAGATAGCAGATGCACGAAACCCTATGTTTTTCCATACAATTGCCGTCTCCGAACCTCGATGATCTACCTCTGCGGTGCGACGGGTGCGAGACGGTCTCGTGTGTGGTCGGATCATGCTCGGATCATTCTCGGATCGGTTCCGCATTGGTAAAAAAAAAAAAAAAAAAAATAAAAAAAAAAAAAAAAAAAAAAAAAAAAAAAAAAAAAAAAAAATGGGTTCAACGGTTTTCGTGCAGGGAGGGAGAAAGAAGGGAAATGACCGCAACCTCTACGGTTCGTGTGGTGGATTTGAATAACTGTAGGATCGTTCCGATGCAGCGGGAGCGGGGTGGCGGGCTCTTTGATAGGGGGGGTGTCGTGGCACGCGGCGACCTCGTGGTGGTCGTTTAGCTGAGGTGGGTTTGGGTGTGGTGGGTGGCGGTGGAAGGGGAGTGTGAGTGTAAATGGGGATTGCAAGTGGTGCTGGTGGATGAGTTGCCGATGGAGGTTTGAAGGAAGTCTCGCACGAAATGCGTTTTTGAGAGATAGCAGATGCACGAAACCCTATGTTTTTCCATGCAAAGTCCGTCCCCGAACCTCGATGATCTACCTCTGCGGTGCGACGGGTGCGAGACGGTCTCGTGTGTGGTCGGATCATGGTCGGATCGGTTCCGCATTGTAAATGGGGTTTCAACTGCTTTTCGTGCATGTGCGGTCGACAGAATTCCATTGTGATTTGCAACTGTGGGATCGTTCCCGATGTAAATGGGATTGCAAGTGGTGCTGGTGGATGAGTTGCCGATGGAATTCCATTGTGATTTGCAACTGTAGGATCGTTCCCGAAATGCAAATGGCATTGCAACCGTAAGGCTCTTATGGTGTCCAGCCTCGGGCTGTTATCATAACGAGAGCTGCAAGATGTTATTTGGAGATACAGCTCTCGTAGGAATATCAATGTCATCATGATGAATGCACAACCAGTCATGGAGGATGTGGGACGAGCCCTTCTTTTACTCTCTGCAAGTTCTTGCCCAACATGCACACCACCACCTTTAAAGGGGAGCAAGTTGAACTGCATTGCACAAATGGAAAGTGCCTGATATTTCTTTCCTTACGTGTGGCACGATGGCCTCCTCATATTGCAATAAGGGGGGCCATTCCCCCACTTAGGCCCAGTGCAGAGACAAGTGGAAATTCTGTGTCTCACCACCATTGCCCCCCCCCATTGCGGCGGGGGGCATCGCCGCCGCATCGCCGCCGCAAGGGGGGGGGGCCAGGCGCTTGGTGCTACGGCAATTGCCGAGGCAAATGCGAGTGCACTCTCTCACCACCATGGCCCCCCCCCATTGCGGGGGGGGGCCTTGCCACCACCACCATGCAGGCACCCCCCATTGCCGGGGGGGGTTAGGCGCTTGGTGCTACGGCGAATGCCGAGGCAAATGCGAGTGCACTCTCTCGCCAATGGGGGGGGGCCATGCCACCACCACCATGCCCCTCAGAAACAAGTGCTAGTGCATCCCCTCCCTCCTTTTTTGAAGATGCCTCTGACTGTGGGGGGGGGGCGATGCCTATGGAGAATGCAAAGGCACGTGCCACAACTTTTCGATCGTGGAGTTTAGGGTTTAGGGTTTAGGGTTTTAGGGTTTAGGGGTT